AAAAAAAAAAAAAAAAAAAAAAAAAAACCTCCCTCCCTACCATGAAATTTGATACCAAAAGTATGCTAACCAATTATTTTTTTTTACTTGGCCTAATTTAAAGATTTATTACAAAAATCATCAAATTGGCTGAATTGTTAATGGAATACAAGAATGGTAATATTCATACATCAGTTAATTGTAAATTTGTTTTTGTTCTAAATATTGATTGGAATTTAACAACAACAGTTACCTTACCTTAGTTAAATCTAGATTCTCAAAGCCTTCACAGCAAGGTAATGTAGGTACTTCCTTCATAGAAACTCTCTTGTTTGCCTTTGATGATACCTAGAAAACATTGTCAATCAGTTTCATATCTGTATTTTAAAATTTCTTCACCACAAGCCTTCACCATTAGGTAAGAATTTTTAAAGCTCATCCGCATATAATAATTATATCAAACAAAAAACAAAAACTACAACAACCTTTTTATTATTAGCCTGTTAGCACACCCATTAACAAAATTAAAATCTCCCACAATCAAAATTATTTCTTGTGCAAATATATAAATACAAAGCATTTATCAATTTTATTAGTAAACAATTAATAATTTTAAATTTTAAATCACACTCAAATCAAATTTCTTTATGACCATGTGATAGTAATGCAAGCAAGGACCAACGGCAATATTCATTTCTTTTTCAAACTTCAATCAAATATATTCTCTTTCACCTACATGCAGCTTACTCTTCAGAGTTTAGAGTGAAGTTACAAAACAAAAGAATAAAACGATCGGCAACTACGATGTTTTCGCCGGCTACTTCAATCAATGCTGTACAAAAATTAATACCACCAAAATAAATAGCACAACAGGCCTGTAAAGAACCTTATTTACCTACACGAAGTTAATTTGCAATAGTATGCACTCATTTCGATGTTCCTTTCTGTTGAAAGTTCGTTAAAATGTCTACCAATTTTCAGACTACATGTTTGACTTTCAAGAACTGGCGGCGTAAACAAAGTTAAAGTTTAAAGTTCGGCAGTCGCGCCTGGGTGAGGCCATCAAAGAAGCCACGCATTCAAATCACATATTAGCCAATAAGATAATAGAAATTTCTCCTCCACCACGTGCTCAGGTGATGACGATTTACATCGCCCAAACTCTTTTTCCGTACATTGGGCTTCCGGGTTTTCTTACCGCGAGAAGAAAAAAACAGATCGTCATTTAAAATTAATTTGTGTATGACTATGAACCTTTTATTTTCATTTCATTTTTATTTTACTAGCCCTCTTTGTGATGACATAGATATTTCGGAAATGATAAATAATTTAAAAAAAAAACACGGCTCAAATTTGTTTACACTCGGTGGCGGAATTAGCAAGCCGAACCAACTATATTGAATGCTGTTACACTCACAATTTCAGAATCATAGATAGTACAATGATTAAAACGGCAGAGCAAGCCAAAATCGTCTCAATTCACATCACATGAGACATTTTTTTTCCAATGTGGTATCCATTCCTTTTCGATATCTGCGTAAATTTTAGAACTATTTTTTTGCTCTCCTTAAATGTTTTCTTCAACGCAGATCTAGGGCATAGGCCTAAGTGGTGAATCCCCACAAATTTCAACATGTTTGTGAAAAGTAAACAACTTCATCATTATAAAAATTGTATTTTCAATTTATTTTGGTGGATTTTATTAAATGTGTATAAACTTTAAAAAGAATGTATTTCAATTATTGAATCAATATTCTGACCTTAAATTCCGATGTTGAGCTCGAAAATTCGTAAATTCTAGGCCTATTCTAACCTACTCAGTAAGTATACTAATCAAGGTTCTGATCATCACTGCATGTGATTGCACATGTGCAACCACTGTGCAGTGTATACTAAGAAGTTCAAATGGGAAACTAATTTTCCGTACCATATGACATACCACGATGTTCAATCATCATCAATCAATGTGTTTGAATCGATATTAGGCCTACAGGAAAACAATTTGTTAATAAAACATTGATAAACATTGTTCATTTTGTAGGGATGCTTGAATACCATACAAAATTAAGGAATATCATATGAGTGAGTACTGTATGTGTGTAAACTTGTCTCTTTCTTAACTGTGCCTGGGATAGCTAGCTAAGTCCTGGTATTAGCAGCTGAGGTGGCTGCAGGCTTATGGCGCCTAAGCCTGTCTAGGCCTAGATACTGTAGCCTACACAGTGGCTGTAGGCCTATCTAACCTAGGCCTAAACTCACGATACGATCTATTGTATGATATTCTTCTCATAAATTAAATTTAGGCTTTTTGAGATTCGCGAAAGTAATAATGTCGCGAAAACGGCCGAAATTATCAATTCGCGAAAGTTTCTGGTTTACAGTATCTATTTAGGCTAGGCCTATTTATGAAGAATATGTAAAAATATCAAATTTTACAGCTCAGTAGTTGATTCTGTAAACTGTTTAAAAAAATGATGTAGAGAAATTCCATCAAATGGGCTCTAAAACCTTGGAGGAAATGGCGCTTCCCCCCTTGACCCCCAACCAGGGCTCTGCCCCTGGACCCCGATGACGGGGGGGGGGGCCCTAGGCGCCCCCCCCCCCTATACCCCCGACCTATTTTTATTTACTCTCTTGTTACTTTCAAATTTCTCCTGCTACTCAAATTCATAAATAAACCCCTGCGGTCAACAAATTTGCTTTACTGCACTGGATAACAGCTCTGGTTTATTTCTGGCTATTAAATAAAATTAATAAATAAAATAAAAATCTATAAAAAAAAAAAGTTTACTATAAAGGTATCAAAAAGTTTCTCCTTAACAATAATATATCATGCCTCTTGATGGCTTCACTGCTACATGGCAACAAATGAACTTTTAATTGAAGGTTAAAACATCTGCTTTACTACACTGGCTAACAGCTCTGCTTTACTGCAAGCTACCTCAAATCACACTTTTATAGTCTTTGTCTAGATCCATCACACCAACTATTTCAATTTAAATATTATTCAAAAAACACCTCCAAGAAGGAGAACATAAAAAATACAGACAAAATACAGAAGAAAAGCAAACAAATATTGAATAAAAAAACCATCCATCAACTATATTTGAGAAGGCACTAAGAGACTTTAATAGTAACTTACTTTGTTTCAGATCAATCTAATAATTATTTTATTATAAAGTTGCTCTATTCTGTATTATAACTCAGCTGATACACAGAGACAACACATAGACTGAATTAAGACCAGTGACCAAAAGACCACAGTTCAGCCGTGAGTTGCTTTATACCATGGAGGTATAAAATACCTCCATGTTTATACATAGCCCCGAACTGGTTCAGTAACCACAAAAAGCTTAGCCATATCTAAAGTATGAGTGATACCAATGCAAAAGAATTTCTTACCTGTTGAGGAGTACTTTTGTTGAGAAATGTTAAAATCAGTTTTTGTACTTTTCCATCTTAGCTTGATAGCTTAATGCTACTTTACGAAAAATGTTTCCTAAAGATATAAGAACAAGAGATGACACTATGAAGACATGGAGATAACTGATTGATTACATCATCCAATAAATGGCTTCTCATTACATACACCATGGTTTTCATACAGTGGTATTTCCATTTTTTTAATGTCAATAAAAATTAACAACAGACTAATCAGAATGTGTTATTAAAGAGACAGAGGCAGGGATATGCACATGTCCTACAAACACACACAACCATTTTCTCTACGAATGGCTGTCGGTACTGGGACCTTAGCAACAATATCCATCCAAGGGATAGGCAGAACCAACAGACCATACACAGTAAAATTATTGATAAAGTAAAGAGTATCTTAACAGATAGTTCCCACCCACTAAATGCATCTTTTACTTGGCTAGCTTAGAGTAAAATATTAAAATCACAAATCTGTAGAATAAAAAACTCATTTGTACCACTACCCATTAGAATTCTTAATCACAATATCAATTAAGTTTTAGGGCCTAATTATAATTTAGCTCTTTGTTTTTGTAAATCAATCTCCCACTCTTGTGATGTATCAACTGATTTTCCAAAAAGAACACAAATAAAGAAATTTTGAATGTTTTAACACAGTTAATGACCTGGAATAATTATAATGATGTTTTATCATAATACTTGTTATTAGTTAAATTACTTTACTGTTCTTACTGATGCACTACATGGTTGTCTGTGTTGCTGGTAGTAATATCTGAATATAATTATGATTTATTGGTTGATATAGCCGAGTCTGGTAGATTGTGCCCTCTTAAATGTTTTATATATTTTTTTTAAAACAACACTTTAAGATCAGTGGCACTCACAACCAATGCTGTTAATCCAAAAGGGTCAAAACTAGTTAAGATCACATTTTATAAAATTATCTAAATAAAAACAGAAACAGAAAGTCCCTTGTTTAGAACTGAGCCCATGTCCTCAATTTAACATTTTAATGATAATACAATTCTAATAGTTTGTATTAAGATTAATCAATGTATGTCAAAAATGTTATGATAATAAGTATATTTTCTATCTCATCTGTAAGCAAATATTTAGTTTTGATATATATTTTTTTTAAGTTTAAAAGTACAGTACCATGTTATATCCTAGCTTATCTCACCTCGACTGCAAGTTTAATAGGCCTAACCCAGTTTCATTTCAGTTACAATCATTTCTGGGTTATATAAAAATAATTAATTTTACTTAAATTACTTAAGTATTAAAGAAACTTGTGTTATAATATGGTTCATCTTACCTCAACCACTGCTTAACCAAGTTTCACATAATACAACATTTTTGATTCATATAATTTATTTTAGTTGAACTGTACTTAAGTTTGAAAGCACCATGTTATCTGAATTTCATGTTTTCCACAATTGACAATAAAGTATTACTGATACTATACAGACAGCTTATCTTAATCCAACACTTCTGGGTCTCATTTACTTTTATAATTAAATTTCCTTGACAAATACAGTGGTGGTGCTATGATTACATCATTATATATTCTGTAGTAGGCCTAGCTCCTAGAATTATGATTATAAACATCAGGTGTCCCAATTCTCCTGCAAGTTGCAGGGCCGTTGGAACCGCACCGGCTTTAGCCAGATCACTTTCTCTCAATTTTATTACTTTTTAAAACAAATATACACTGATACCTACTGTATATGAAGTTAGTATTAATGTTCGCAATAAATTGCCAAGTAGCAAACAGAAAATTCACACGCCCATTCGAGGACCTTCACACCGGCAGAGGTGATGTTGCCTAGCGTTAAGTTTGCAAGTGGAGCGAACAAGCAGACGCTGGGGGACAGGGGGCTGCAAGGACCCCAGTCGGGGGTTTTTGCTAATGAATATTCTTATTAAATTATAGCGCCACTAATTGGCTTGGCTGAGACGACGTCCAGGAAAAACAAAAATTCGCAAGCCGGCCGCGGCTGGCCTGGCCCAGGGCAGGAGGTCAGAGCAGAGAGGCGATAGCCAAGGCCTAGCCTAGACTACCTGTGGTACCTTTAAATCTCATAATTCATCTAGGTTTTCATTTATCTTATTCATTTGCTAACACATCTATCACTCACCACATATCAATAGCATACATTAAACAGTTTAAACAACGTAGCTCATGTGTAGCGGTTTCATTTATCTACTTTCCATAGAATTCCGATTACTACTACTATCTACTCCGCTGCCTCTATTATGGGCCAAGAATATAGATAGAGCTGAGAGGCCTAGGCCTAGTGTTCTAAAGTCCGCCCTCTTTTGTTTCTTCATGATAGTATAATGTAATGAGACAAAAAAAAACGAGAAATATATTTTTTAACACTACTGCAAACTAGACTATTAAAGAAGGGACGGGGACACTTTACTGAGTGTGCCAAATGGTCAAATCAATAAACCTTCACTACTCAAGGCATTAAACGTACCTTTTCTTTGGAACAGCACACCACGAGCACTGTTGGAATGGAGCCATATAAAAATGGAATCATTTTTCATTTTTTTCATGTGCATCGCAACAATTACAATCAGTCTCAAAATAAGAAAAATGTATTTAACTTTATATCTGACACCTTAAACTTAATATCAAATCAAAATCCTCTCTTACAGGTAACCACGGGGATTTCCCTTTCTTTGTTTTTCGTGCATTTTCATATAGGATTCATGGCCGGCGGAAGCGGGGGGGGGGACCGGGCCCCCCGTCCCCCCCCCTCCACTTTTTGGCGAAAAATATATAATCTCTGGAGATTTTTGTATGATCCGAAATACAAAAAAAGAAGGAGGGAAGAAGGAGGAGAAGGATGGGAAAGAGAATGTTTATCCAGTACCCGACCGAGTTACATTTTCTTGCAATTCATATTGGCGGATCTGGGGGAGGGGGGTCATTGGTCCTTACCCCACCCTTGGGCAACAAAAAAAGGGCAAAAAGAAAAGAATTCGAATTTTGAAGAACATAAAATTCATAAAAACACGCTTCAAACGTCGGGAAAGCTCAATTCCCGCCATCTAGGAATCACAATTTTCCCTGGGGAGAACCCCCGGACCACCCTTTCTTTTGGGATTTATCGATTCATGGAAAAAAGAATACGCATGCAACTACTCATTTGTTTATGTATGTAGGCCTATACACACATAAAATAAACAATGAGAAAAATTTACCTGACCTATTTCAAGAGGGGAAAACCTTGAATTTTGAAGAGCTTTAAAAGTCATTAAAGCTCATCTCCCACCATCTAGAAATCGAAATTTTTCCGGGGGAACCCGGACTCCCTTTATCTTTGGAGTTCATTGATTAATTGAATCATTGTCAAGAGGGGGTGGGGGGAACCTTGAATTTTAAAGAATTTAAAAGTCATTAAAAGACACCACAGAAGTCGGGAAAGCTCATTTCCCGCCACCTAGGAATCAACATTTTTCTCATTTTTTATTTTATGTGTGTATACATACATAAACAAATGGGTAGTTGCATGCGTATTCTTTTTTCCAAGAATCGATAAATCCCAGAGAAAGGGAGGTTCGATTTCTTCCCGGGAAAACGTTGATTTTTAAATGGTGGACAATGAGATTTCCCGACTTCTGAAGTATTTTTTAATGACTTTAATTTAAAAGACACCTCAAAAGTCGGGAAAGCTCATTTCCCGCCTTCTAGGAATCAAAATTTTCCCGGGGAAGAACCCCGGACCCTCCTTTCTTTTTGGGATTCATCTCATCTAAAAAATCGTATGCAACTACTCAATTTTATTTAAATGTATGTATACACACATAACAGGCCTATTTACCATAATGAGAAAGTTTACCTTACCGTTTTCATGAGGGGGAAAACCTTGAATTTTGAAGAACAAAGTCATTAGACACCTAGCTCAAAAGTCGAGAAAACTCCGCTTGGCTTGTTGGCCACTTTTAAAGAATTTTTACTATGGAATTTTATTTAGGGACCGATCCATTTGCCTTTTGTCGTAATAAATCACGACCGAATCACACTATATCTGATCATGTGTTACGTTATTGTGTACAGTTTATTGAGGATGACGGTCAAGAGTGGGTAGGGCCTTATAGTTAATTCTTAGCCCAGTAGACACAAATAAATTTTCCGACACCAGCGGAAAAGGTCATTTCCCGCCATCTAGAAATCAAAATTTTCCCGGGGGAGGAATGTTGACCCCACCACCTGGATTTGATTCCAGATCTGCATGATTCATATTCCCATTCATCTTATAAGCAGTGGCGTAACAGGCGGAGGTTTTTATCGGGCTGACCAAGCCGTCGTACCGGGCTGGGTAAGAAGAGAAAAGAAAGAGGGGTGAGGGAGGGAAAGAGAAAGAAGTGGATAGAAAAAGAAAGGAAAAAGGAAAAGAAAAAGAGAAGAGAAAAATAAAGACAAGAATAAAAAGGAAGATATAATGAACAGATATCACAATACCCCAGCCTGCAACCCCTTCTCCACTTTAAAAAGTGTCCATATCGCATTTGATCTAAGCCGCCAGGTATTCTCCGCAGTGGCGTAATCACCGGGGGACAAGGGGAAAATATCCATCTGTGGAAAATCTTTCCCCATTGAATGCCCTTTTCACCCGGGAAAGTGCCAGAAAATCTCAAATTTTAAATCGCATATTTTGTTGAGGTAGGCCAGTTTCCTCTAAAAAATTGCACATTTTAGGGAGTTTTGATCCATTCCGACGAAATTAGAATTAAAAAAAGAAATATTGTTCGCGCGCTTCGCGCACATTTTTTAATGTTAAAGCTTCTGCTTGCTCTCTTTTGCCTTCTAAGTTATAACACATAGTCCCAAACTCAAGAAAGAAAATTTAAGATAGATCGTTTTACCTAAAAGAAGGGCCTCAATGTGTCATGATGTTGAAAGAATATGTTTGTAATAAGTAACGCCATAAGGAAAATGCTTATATTCAGTTTTAAAAAACAAGTGTGGCCATATATAACATAAGAGCATTTCTTGTTGATTTAGGCCAATTTCCTCTAAAAATTGCACATTTAGGGAGTTTTGATCAATTCCGACGAAATTAGAATTAAAAACACAAAAAATTCTGTTAGGGTTAAAGCTTGTGCTTGCCCTCCTTTGCCTTCCAAGTTATTTAAACACATAATAGTCCCAAACTTGAGAAAGAAAAATTAAGATAGATCGTTTTACCTAAAAGAAGGGCCTCAATGTGTTATGATAGTGAAAGAATAGGCCTATGATTGTAATAAATAAAACCACTATGAAAATGCTTATATTTAGTTTCAAACACACGTGTGTGCCCTATATTAATAATAAAATAAGCCCTATGTCGTATTGTTGTCTATAT